GGGCTTAGCTGACTTCAGTAACCCTTGGGCTGACCCCACCCTGTGTATCAGGTAGAAGGCCACATCAAGAGGCCAGGGTACCACGCAGGTCAGCGCAGCCATGCACATACGAGCCCCAGTCTGACTGCCAGCCTGGGCTCCTGTTGCTGTGGCAACAGGAGTAAGATGGCACCAGAAATCTGGGCTTCCCACCAGACATCTGGCCTCAGTGAGTCAGTGGGCAAGGATGGCCAGGTCTGGGGTGAGGCCCAAGAATTAGCATTCCCAGGGCCTGGGGATAGAGCGAGTCCCCAGGTTCCATCCCCAGCACCAACTCCCAGGAGACGTTGGGGAAGAGCATGCCGGGAGGAGGCCAGGCCTGGCACGGAGGAGATGCTCCGGATCCGAGTTGGGTGTTGGCCCTGCAGCGCTTCCCAGGGTTCCCAAAGCCTGTCTGGCTGCTCGATTTCAGACATCGGCAAAACCCTTGAGATCAAGACCTGGCTCCGAGTTTCACGGTTCTAGCCTTTGCAATCGTCCCTGAGTCTGATGGTGGCTGGGTCCACTGAGGCCCACAGAGAGGTCCAGCGATAGTTTTGGAAAGCAAACCCATTGGTGGAAGAGGAAAATCCAACAACACCTGGACGGTCTCAGTGTAGAGCAACAAGAAACATCTGAATCAAATTGCCTTTAAAATTACACTATTTTAAAAATTAAAGGGAGAGGGGAGGGACTCCCGGCCAAAATGTGTTTTTAAAGATTTACGGCTTTCAAAGTGTGAGTCCAACAGCTTGAAGGAGTTGGGAAAAAGCCACCCTGCCTGGCTCCTGTCAGCGGCTCCCCCTTTTCCCAGTCTGGGGACCGTGGTGCTCTTTCCTGGGGCCTCCCTGTCCTGCTCTGCAGAGACACTTCCAATGCACGCTTTGGCTCAGGGAGGTGGAGACTGATGGACACCCCCAGCCTCCAGCAGGCCCAGCTTCAGAGACTCCTAAGGGAAGTCAAGCAGCAGAGGCCAGGTAAGACAGGGGACTTGGCAGATATGCCATGGTCCCCCACCCCAGGGAACTGGCTATCTGGAAGAGAGTAGGTGTTGCCAGGCTCTGGGACAAATGAGGGCCCTACTGTCACGGGGAGAGGGTGCAATGACCCATGGAGACTTTTCCAAGGCTGGCACTTACCCCAGAGTATAGAGTTGGGTCGAGTCCAAATGAAGGCCCCAGTTACTCCCCAAAACTAAAGTAATCATCTAAAAGCAAATACACGGGACTGGGGCTGTAGCTCAGTGGTAGAGCACTTGTCTATGATGCCTGAGGCCTTGAGTTCAATCCCCATGTGCCACGAAAAAATTAACTTTTAAAATTAATAAAATAACATGCAGTCAGCTCCCTGTATCTGGGGATACCACATCAGCAGATTCAACCCATCACATGTCGGAGACCTTCAGCGAGTGAGGAGGGAGAATGCATCTGTACTAAACATGCAGGGTTTTTTCCCTTGCCATTATTCCCTAAACAATACACTATAACAACTATTCACATAGCATTTACATGTATTCGGTATCATCAGTGATCTAGAGATGATTTTAAAGTTCGCAGGAAGATCGTGTAGGTCATGTACAAATACTAAGCCATGGGACATGGGGCCCTGAGCATCCTTAGACTGTGGTATCCTGGGGTCCTGGAATCCGTCCCCCACGGTCACTGAGGGACGACTACACTTGAAGGAGACTCCCCTCATGTAAGAGGCGGGAGGGCCACACCCAGACTCAGCTCTCCCCCGAGGCAGTTGTTGTCCTTGGGCAAGTCCCAGGCGTCTTGTCTACAGCACAGGAAAGGCTGTGCCCACGTGAATCACTCCGACACCCAGAGCACCCGCCTGGGTTCCCAGCGTTGCCTGAGGGGCCTGCTGCCTCCTCACTCAGGCCTGTTCTTTCTCACTCCTAACGGGGCCTGTCATCAGCTGCATCCCACTTCGGCCACTTGTAGAATACAGGCCCGACCCCTCTCGAGCCTTCATGAGGGCTTGATAAGCACTTTCAACAGATACCTAACAGCCAGGCATGGTGGTGCACGCCTCTAATCCCACCAACTGGGAGGCTGAGGCAGGAGGATCGCAAGTCTGAGGCCAGCCTCAGCCATTTAGTGAGAACCTCTCTCAAAATCAAAAATAAAAAGGGCTGGGGATGTGGCTCAGTGGTCTACTGCCTCTGGGTTCAATTCCCAGCACCACCAATAAATAGATAAATAAAACAAAACAAAAAGGATATCAAATATTCCATTCCAGATGTTCCACAGTTGGATCAACCAGTCCCCGATCACTGAATAGTTAGGCTAGTTCCAATATTTCAGATGTGGGCCATGTGGAAATGAACTCTTTCTGCCTGAAGGTAGGTTCCCTGCTAGAACCAACCAAAGGCATCTGACTCTGGGGGAGTAGTGGAAGCACCTGGAAGTGGTGCCGTGTGGGGCGGGGGAGATCAGATAGCCACAGGGGCTGGGGCAAGAAGGGCTGCTCCCTACTGCTCTCCTTCCCAGCCCCACTCCCTGCCCATCCCTACACCCCAAGACAGCTCAGTGCCTCTCCTGTTGAACCCAGCACCAACCACTGAGATCAAGCTGATCACAGAGGCATCTCCTCACCAGGGCCACCCGCACCAGCCACCTGCTGTCACCTGGCCTCTGCAGCCGCCTCATCTGCAGGCAGAGTAGGCCCACGCTACAAGCTCCATGGAGTTTTCTGGGAGTCCAGTGTGCCTAGCGCTCGTGGAGTCTGGCCCACAGCTCCTCTGCCACCATCCCGTGAGATTTAAGAAGATAGAGGTCCTTAAATTCTGTGGATGACACCTGTCAAATCCCCTCATGACATGGGTCAGGAGGGGCCCAGGCAGCACCCTCTGGATGCACCAATAGGCCTCCCTGTCCCTACCCTCAAGTGCAGTCACAAAACCTACCAGCACAGGACACCACCCCTCAGTGACCACTTTGCTCCAAGCAGAAACAGCTGCTCTTCCCTGGCTCCAGGGCTTTTCCCAATAAACTGCTCAGGGAGAGGTGCAGGGAACAGCAATGATGAGGACACCCCGAGACTCTCCAGCACCACAGGCACCCGGCCCAAGACTGCTGCAAAGACACCCAGCTGCCTCCTGCTCCTGAGGGGGAGTCCACCCTGTGCGAAGCCTCACCAGCCACGCTACCCTGCGCCAGCCATCAATAGGACGTGCACTTCTGCGGTGGGCAGGGCAGGCGTCCCAGAGGGCAGAGTGGGGGCAGGGGCTTTCTCTGGGGTGGCTGGGCTCTGAATTTCCATCGCCCCCATTGAAATTCCCTGAAGCCTTTGTTGTTACTGCCCCAAGAGTGACAGCCAGGTCTGGCGCTACAGGGGCTTTTCCCTAGATTGCATCCTAATTACTGTCTAATTGCTACCTAAGTCTGTTCGAGGCTGCTAGGACCCAGCAGTAAATCGCGCTGCATGCTATACCAAGGCAGGCCAGGTGGGTCCCTTGGGCAGGCCAGAGATATGCTGAGGCCCAGCTCTGAGGAGCTCATTCAGCCTCAGAGAACCAGACAGAGGGACGAGTTGAGGCATCGCCATAGACACTGACCCAGGCAAGGAAAGGAAACATGGCCAGGACTCCGGCTCAGCCACACCCGGTCTCACTCTTCCCTTTCTCTGGCACCAGATGCCATGGAGGCTTCAACTCCTCCCATAGCATCTAAGAGCTCTGCCTCTATGCCGACAGGCAGGCTAGGAGAGTCCCTGTTCAGGGGGGACAGGAACCTCAGGACATCCCCAGGTCAGGATGCCAGATACCCACCTCCTACAGGGAGCCCCAAAGTTAACCTCAGATCTCCCTCCTCTGACCTGGACCCCACATCCCCCAAATGACTCCAACTTGGAATCACAAGGAAAGTCAAAATACATAGAGAAACAAAAACCAGGAAGTCCTCAAATTCACTCTTAGGAAAAGAACTCGGGACTGGGGGTGTAGCTCAGTTGTAGAGCACTTGCCTAGCATGTGCATGGCCCCAAGTTCAATTCCCAGCACCTGCCAAACACACACACACACACACACACACACACACGCACACATGCACACACACACCCCTGGACAGTCTTTCCGTCTCCCTGAGCTCCAGCCGCAGCTATACCGGCTGCAGCCCACGGACCAGCGCGACCCAGCATCAGCTCAGCGCTTCAGAGAAAGGCACAATCTGAGCCCCGCCCCGACTCGCTGAGGGGGCGGGGCCTGCACTCCAGCCACACCCCCGCGATTGTGCCCGCCCCTCCCTGCGCTTTGAGCTGTTCTTGGGCGGTGAGAGCAACAGGGCATGACTAAATCCAAATGCACTTGAATAAAAAGGGAAAGAAAGGAAATCTCAGACTCTCCATTCCTCAGAGACAGAAATAGTTCTGTGGCCTCCAGATGGACGGCACAGTCACAAGGGGAGGTCTCGCCTTCCCGCCAAACTTTCCCAACGGGATGCTGGCACGGACCCGTGGAAACCAGAAAGCCTTTCTCTTTGGGGCAGTAAAATAAGAGACTGTGGCTCGTGTAGTCCCTTCTGTTATAATTAAGTTGGCCAGAAATTCACCTAAGATACTCAATTCCAGACCTGACCCTCTAATTACAGCCAGAAGGCATCAGGAGACAATTACTTTCCAAAATAGTCCGCGGCAACAAGTTCTCTGGGCACCTCTCAAACGTGCCAGCTGAACGGATCCCAGGGTCGCCCAGAGCCACAGAGCCGGCTGCTCCCCCCCTTCCCCCTCCCCATGCTCAGGCTCCGCCCACCCACAAGAATCTGGGAAGTCCAGGTCCCCCAGGGTTTGAGGTGGCCAGAGCTCCAGGGAAACCTGCAGGCGACTGTCCTCGCAGTGCCTGGGAGCAGGGGCGCCCTCTCTGCCACCCTCCATAAACCCAGCATGCCTCCCTGATGACAGGGGCCACCACTCTCATTAAATCCTAAATGGCTAATGAAAAACACCCCCGCGGCTCGCCAAGTGTGCAACACAGAAAGTACCTCCTTGGGCAGCGACGGCCGCCGCGGCCACCGCCAGAGGACAGGCCTTTTCACCCGGGTCGGGGAAACCGCTGCCCTCCAGGATCCCACTTTTGACGTCTTTCTTCTCGGCAGCCGTGGCTGGGGCCGACGACATCTCCATCTCAGCCGCTCATAGTCCCGGGTGGCGACCCTGGAGGAGACGACAAAGACGTTCACCAACACTGCACCCAAACCAGCCGGGAGCCGCCGACCCAGATTCGCGCTGCCACTGGCTTCTCCAGCAACCAACTTCCTCCTCACTCTCTTATAATTGGGAAGGAGGGTTTAATTAATTTTGAGAATTATTCATCCTGAGATTCATCTGGTCTTCGGAACAACCACATGGACAGCAGTCTAGCGTTTTCATTGTCTTTTATCCAGATTTTTAAAAAAATCTAAGCAACAAGTTCCCACTGATGTGAGTCAAGGAGAAAAAAAAAAAAACTACCAGGAGAAATGAAATCAGAAACAATGAACTTCAACTTAGAATGGGAGGGGGTGGAATGCAAATAAATATAATTACAACAACTGAGAGGTCCTGGAAGAAAGGGCTTAGTCATCTCCCTGCACACAGAACCCATCCTTGATTTATTCACTTGTATACTTATTCATTCATTCACCTGTGCACTGCACAAAGTTTCACATTATATATTGACGCTCAGGCACTCCGTTAAGGTTTTTTCCCCTTGTTTTTTGTTTATTTTGTGGTACTGAGGACTGAACACTGAGCTTCCCACATACTAGGCAAGCACTCCACCGCTGAGTGACATCCCCAGCCCTTTTTATTTTGAGACAGTGTCTTGCTAAATTGTCCAGGCTGGCCTCAAACTTGGGATCCTCCCTCCTCAGCCTCCTAAATAGCTGGGATCACAGGTGTGCACCCCGATGTCCACATAGTCCGTAGATTCTCAAGTCCCTTTTATGATCAGTCGTCATGTCTGATACAGAAGACGTTACATGGCATTTCCAGTCTACTTAAGGAACAAGTAGGGGGTAGGAAAATGTAGGTTTGATTTCAGCTAGCGCGAGGTGGTGTTGAAAAACAAAGCACAGCAGGTGAACGGGGCAGAGAGCAGGGCAGTGAGGGGCAGAGAGGTGAGGGGGGGCCACGGAGGCCTGACAGAGCCACAAGCCAGATGAAAGGAGGTTTTGCGCAGAGGAGGAACTAGATATAAGTCACGGCATGAGGGGATCCTTCTGGGGTCAGATGGCACTACTCCAATAACCCAGAGAACTATGGTGGTGGTGGGGTCTAGGTAGTGGCAGAGAAGCTAGTGAAATGTGGGATCTTCTGAAGGCAGAGCCAAGAGCCGGCCACAGAACGGATGTGGCAGGGTGAGAAGAGGCAGAAACACACCGTGGGACGCAGGGCACAGGTCCCCAGCCGTGGGTAGATCCATAATGAGCACTTTTATAGGATGCTGTATCACAAGCAGACACGGCTAATACAATATTTATATCGAATGCTACAGAACAGAGTTTGAGAGTGAAGAATTTTAAAAGGAGGGTGGTATCCCGGGTGATTCTTGTTTTCTGCTGAGCACTTGGATGAATGAACGATGGTGCCATTGACAAAGATGGAGGAGAGCCCGGAGGAACAGGTCACTGGGCAGAAATGGGGAGCTCAGTGGGTCAGGTGAAGTTTGAGGTGCCTACAGAGACCTGCAGAGCTGGCAGAGGGTGCAGACTGTGGGGAACACACGTCTGCAGCTCAGGGGGAAGCCAGAGGCTAGAGGAGGGGATATAGCAGCCACTGGACCCGAGAACCGAGGAAGGCGGTGAGGTGGAGAAGAAGTTCCATCAGGGAGATGCCCGCCAAGAGGAGTGAGCAGGGTTGGGGACAGGGGAGTGGAAGAAAAGTTAAAAAACCAACAGGGAAGTGGGGGGTCCTGGAAGCCACCCCGGGAAAGCGAAGCTCTGGAGAGGAAGAGTGAGGCACTCCATCACTGGCCACTGAGACCTCCACTGTCACAAGGCAAGCCACCATGGCCTGGGCCGTTGGGGAAGAGAATAGATACAGGCACCTGGGTCAGGAAATTTGGCTTCCAAAGAGTCAGGGAGACAGGGCCACATTTTAGGGAGACTGGGGAGTCCAAAAGGTTCAAGGTTGCTGCATATGGAAGGAGGGGTTGCTGCAGGGTCTGTGGGGCTGCAGACACCCCAGGCAGCCGTCAGTTCCACCCCCGCCGCCTCCACACTAAATCCACATGGGTAAGCCTCATAATTTTATTTTTTAAATCCTCACAATATCCCCCACGTCCTTCCAAACAGAAAAGAGCGGGTACACAAGAACAAAGTGGGGCGCGTGAAGGACAGGCAGCAAACCCTGCAGTTCCTAGTCCTGTCTGCAAACCAGCTCATCCATGTCCCACGATCTTTCGAAACTCTCTGCCCAGAAAACCCAAGCAGATGGGGAGAGGAAAATTTCCTTGAGGATATTGGTGAGTTATGGGGTTCCCTCTGTCCTGTCTGCTCTTTCAGCACACTTTTTATACTCTGTTCCTTTACATTCCGGCTACGGGAATGACCTCCAGCAACGTGCCCTGGCCCAGGATCACCTTCCTTCTCCCCTCTCATCCTGCATCTCATAGGTTACAATCACCATGGCTGCATCCCCAGAGCATCTCCCAGAGATGCCTCACCTGATGGTTGTTCTATGTCCTTCCTTGCTGGGCAACATTCCTATCTCTGATCCCTCTCCAGGTCATCCCGACCCGGTAGCCAGGTTCCTTCCCCCAAATCAAGTCTCACCACATCCCTCCCCAGACCACAGCCCTGCAAGCCCGGGACCTGCAGGTAGAGCATATCTGTCTGTGTCTACCTGCAAGGTGGGCGGGGCTAGCTTGCACACAAACCCTTAGCAAACCCCCCACCTTTTCTGTATTTGACCAACTCCTGCTCTGACTTCAAGATGCCACTCATGTCACCTCTTCCAAGAAGCCCCCTGCCCCTCCCAGCCCATGGGTTGGAGCTCTGCAACAGTCAGCTTATGTCCCAATCCACACCCATATTATCTTCATTGCCACCTCCAGATATGTTACAGGTGACACAAAATGACTGCCCAGGAATATCTGTCAAAGAATGCCACTAGCGGGGCTGGGGATGTGGCTCAAGCGGTAGGGCGCCCGCCTGGCATGCGTGGGGCCGGGGTCGATCCTCAGCACCACATACAAACAAAGATGTTGTGTCCGCCGAAAACTAAAAAATAAATATGAAAAAAAAAAACACTAGTGGATCTTTGAGGCAGAAGAATCAATTTTCTCATGCAAGTGATTTTGTAGATGGCCTAGGTTTTCCTCACAACAGGTCTTGGGATTTGGATTTGGAAATAGGACAGAACTCAAAATGACAGCTGAAACAACAAGCCTTTAACCACATCTACAGAATGCCAGGCACTATAAGCTCATTTAATCCTCAAAACATTTTATATAGGAGAAAGCCAACACTAGGCTGAGTAACATGTCTAAAGACACATTCCTCATAAGTGGCTATGCTACACCTTGAACCCAGACTGTCTGACACCAAAACTGTCCCTTGAGTGAGGATTCCCCAAGTGCAATGGGATTTACCTCAGAATTCCCCGGCAGGCATTGAGGTAAATAACCATTGAGTCCTTCTGGGGTAGGAAGCACTGGGCCAGGGGCCCAGCAGGCCCAGAGCAGGATTAGGCATGGCCCCTATCCTAAGGTCACACCGAGACGGCCAGGCTTGGGCCATCTTGGGCAAATGCTGAGGCTCTGGCTGGGGCTGTACCTGACAGTCACTGTGATCATGTGGGTGGCCCCATCTGTAGAGGCACAACTTGGGGGGGTGAGCAATGGGGTGTAGCTGTACATTCATTCAAACTCTAACTGGTGGTTCACCGACGGTGAGCTTCATCCTTCACTCTGAGCTAGGCTGGGAGCTGGCCTGCCTGGCAGGAATTCTACCCCTCCACCACCCCTCCCCAAATAAACTGAGGGTCCTTCCCTTGGATCTCAATGTTCCCTGGACCCATGCCACCTCTCCTGCAGCCTGGTCACGTCTGCCATGTGCCCTCCTGGCTCGCTGCTCTCCTGTGACTTCCTTCAAGTCAAAGAAGGACCTTCACCCCTCAGGCCCAAGCCCACCTGAGCAGGAGTTTAGTCCCCTTCCCACGGGGACTGGGAACCACTCTCTGTGGTCCAGAAACCTGAAGGGGACTTGAGGCGCCCCACGGGCTGAACACGCCACCAAACCCCAAGGTCTGGGTAACCAGGCCCCACAGGGGCTGAGGTGGGCATCGATCTGCCCTCACCCAGTGCAGATGGGGGGACTGAGGCCCAGCAACTCAGAACCCCTGGACTTTAGTGCTGGGGATGTCTGGGAGGAAAGAGCAGAGACTGTGGCCACTTCCATTAGGGACAGAAGGAAAGGGCAGCATCCTTTCATTCAGCATGCTACAGTCTGAATGCTGTGTCCCCCAAAACTTGTATGTTGAATCCTGACCCCGTGGGGACGGTATTAAGAAGCGGGGCCTAGGCCAGGTGTGGTGGCACCCACCTGTAATTCCAGCAACTTGGGAGGCTGAGGCAAGAGGAGATCAAGTTCAAGGCCAGCCTCAGCAACTTAGCAAGAGCTGTCTCAAAAAAATAAAATAAAAGGGCGGGGGCTTCAGTTCAGTGGTAAAGCACCCCTGGGTTCAATCTCCAGTTCATAAAGAAAGAAGAAAATTAAGGAGTAGGGCCTTTGGGAAGTGACTGGGCCATGAGGAATCCGCCCTCATGAGTGGCATTAGTGACCTCATAGAGGCTCATGGAGCCCTTCTGCCTTCCACCATGTGAAGACCCGCTGGTGTTGAGGAGCGGGCCCTGGCCAGACCCAGATCCGCTGCGGCCTCCATCGAAGACTTCCCAGCCTCTCGAACCATGGAAAATAAATGTCCATTGTGCATGAACTGCCCAGGCTCTGGCTTTCTGTTTAGGATCCCAAACCAGCAAAGACCCTGCCGGGCAGCTCCCTCACGCCAAGGTCCCCCATGTCATCCCAGACTCTTGTGCAGGAGGAAGCTGAGGCCCCCAGGGGGAAGTAAAATGCCCAAGGTCACTTGGCCTACTGTCCCCTCCTCTGCTGGACCTGAGGCCTCACAATGTGGTTGCTGCA